GGAGTGCGTGACGTATGTTAAGCGACGCATAGTTGTTGTCAACAAAAATCAAAGCGTGCAGTTGCACACCTAGAATAAGAAGATGAGCCTTGATCGCGTTTCTATAAAGCCCGCCCTGACAATTTGATTGGATCGCCAGAGGGTGGACGATCATACTCGCGCTACTATTAAGCAATGCCAGACCGAACTTCCCAACCTCAAACGTTGTGGGCGGGACTAAGTTCGGAATGGCACCCAGGCTAACCTTTTGTCCCATATTCATCAGAAAAAGGGTCCAGAGATATTAAATCTAAAGCCAACAGACTTCAGAACAGCTTCATGTTAGTCTGTAATGGAGATCTTTTACACCTGTACCCTCCCTTCTCCAGCCACACACTCCCACCTTCACACGTTCTTGTCTTGCTATATATAGTTAGGACCATCTGTTGACTCCCTTTGATTTTCAGTGATTTTTTTAGTCTAACAAAAAAATTATCATATTTCTTTAAAGAATATTATTATTGATTAATAAAGGAAGCCAAATAAAAAATAAATAAATATAAAAAAAAATCTATGTTGTCTTGTCTTACTTCTATATAACTATTAAGCCTTTAGCTGCTAGTTGGCAGAGCACTGCCCAAAAGCCTTTGATTCAGTTACTCTGCAACATCAAGATTTCGTGACGTTTTCCATTTCCGATTCTGTTTTATTATAAAAATTGCCATAGATCATGTTTGTTAATGTATCAAGATATATTGGGATAAATTGTACATTACTCGTGTATCATGACACCTATTGTATAGCCAAATTCACAACCCTACTTTCCATGTTCTTAAGTGCATTTGTTCTTGAATTGAGAAGGTAAAAGGTAAATTTTTGCAATGGAACAAAACAGTTTACAGTTAATATAAAAAAAGACAATTGTATTGTCGTATTTGAAGTGCATTTTATCTAAATATCTTATTTTAAGGGTAAAAATACTCATTCCATTGGCTCATTTACCGACTCAAATTAAGGGTAAATGTGTAATTGTGGGACAATAAAGGGGTTTCCTTTTTTTATTTTATTTTATTTTTTCTACACATAGCCTGAACTCAAGCAAACTTTAGCCTATCCATTAGCGAAAAAGGGAAGTGAGAACTAGCAAACGGTCCTCATCAAACAGGATTTCACCAACCTTTCCTCAAACACTCCTACTGAAAATCAAACAGACCAATCAGCCTATTACAGACTGACCTGGCACTTGATGCACTTTATGTACGCACTATTTTCTATATGTAGACTGCAGAATATTTATACATGTTTGCCTTCTGATGTTTCATCTTTGAAAGCTGACCTAAGTAGCTGCTGTCATTGTGAAAAGGGAAGTGCAACCTATGGAAATTTTAAAGTTTAATGTACGATGGCTGTTGGAAAACACCTTCTCTTGGTCCTAACTTTGCAGCTTAGATGATGGCTTGTAATGCTTGATTTATGAAACTGCCTCTTTCCACCTTCTACTGCTTCCGTAGGAATCCAGATGGTGAGTAGCAGCGACTTGCTGCTGTTTTTCTGGTCCTTCCTTTTATCTCGCTGTCCCAGTCCGGTTTTCCAAGTCTGTTTTCCTTCGTGTCTCCTTTCCCTCCCTCCTCCTGACAGACATGCACCAGCCCTTTGCAGCCCATTACGTCAATTCCCAAACCCCGGGATGCCAGCTGTTGATGTCACCCTTGGGTCTTTTTAATTTGGAGATTTCCGCTGGGCAAGTTGAGGGGGAGGCCCGCAGCCACATGAAGGGGCCTACTGGGGCAGAACCGTTCCGGACCAGGCCAGACCCCAAACAATCCGGGGGAAGGGTGGAACTGCTCCTCTGGGGGGGACGGGGGGAGGGTGAGCCCTGGGAGTCCAAAACATGAAGCGATCAGGGGAAGAGTTGTATTGGAGGGGGGGGGGGTATGCAGCGCAATGCTGCCTCTATGACACGTGACAGCATGCCTGTGACCTGCAAACACTGCAGCTATCCCCTTGAGCTGTTAAATACAGCCTTTCAGCAGTTACGGTTTCCCTCCCTTTCAGAGGGGATCAAATGTTCCTACCAAAGGGCCTATCTCTCATTCCTTGGATCCTTAAGGCTTTGTGTGGGCGTGAACATTAACTTCCATGTAATTGATTTTATTGGTTTATGAAGGAGAAGCGTCAGAGTCCCACAGACACAAGCGCCTCTTACTTTAGTTCTGTCGGGATAAAAACTCCCTCTAGCTTGTCTTTTTAAAAAATGTCTTCTAATGCTTATAAAGATTCTATTTTTCAACATATGTTGTGTTCATAATGAGTCATGGTGAAAAATACCCATAGGTTCCCCTATTTAAAAAGAGAAAAATCTGAAAAGGGTTGAAAAGGTGGTCCTAAGCCACATCTAGGTATTATCAGTTTAAGGTTGTGGTCCAATTGTTTTGCTGATATTTTTTTTTATCTTTATCTGCTTTTATTCTTCTTCAATTTTATCATCTAATTGATGTAAAGCACTTGTCCATGTACTGAATTGCACTTTACAAATAAACTTGCCTTGCCCTCTAAATGCGAACGAAGTGTTTTGAAATGCAGCATTTTCGAAGCCTTGTCTTCCCCACGGTTAGGTGTGGACATCGGTCCAAAACATGAATATAAGCCAATCAATCATATACATATGAATATAAATATGATCACTAGCATCTCCCATTATCCTAAGGCCTAACCTATCAGTGCTGATGGACAACAGAGAACAGGGGAATCCAGTATTTAGACTTAGAGTTAGACAAACTTTATTGTCATCTTGTATACACACAGTTTAAAGAAAGCAAAATTTCAATGCATATAGCTTTTCAGCAGGTGAAATGAACATTACCATTTAAAGTGTAGCAGTGATCAGAATGTAAACAGTGTAGGAGGGGAAAAAAACAGTTTAAAGTCATGGTGCAAAAGGTATCTATCTATTTAATGTTGTAGAAATGTTGTTTTTACAGTAAAAAGTCAAACAAATTGTGGGAATATTAATGTTTCTTTTTCTTGTTTACTGTTTTCTCTCTACAGTATCACCCTCTGTCTCTCTGCAACACGAGCGACGATGAGCGACAAGACAGCGCCTTCATCACCATCGTCAAATTGGAGCACAGAGTCCCCCGCTGCTCCCTGCTGCCGGAGAAGGTGCCCCTCACACACAAACACACGCAGACGCCCCCTTTTTCTGACCCTTTCTTTTGTCAGCCTGAGCGGGAGGAAGATCAAACATCTTGCCTTCCGCTTTTTGGATAAAGCACAAAAGGTTTTTTGAAGGAATTATTTGGCAGAATTTTGCTCCTCAGGACAGTGATCTTTCAGGGTGAGGTCTTGCAAAAAAAAAAAAAGAAAATAAGGAGGGGGTGGGTTTATCTCAGCGCTGCTATGTAGCAAGTGGCTATGAGCCCTGGCTCTGGATGTGAGGCTTTCAGGCCCCAGCTGTCACTGGTCCGATCTCAGCCAGCCAGACACTCACTTCTCCATTTCTGCTTCCCTCTAATAAGAATGCAGCCAGACCTCCGCAGAATCCAGCCACAATAATTTAAATGCATGTGTAAGTTTGCCGTAGCTGACCTAAATCCCCCCCGCCCGCCATTTTTTTAAAGTATTCTGCCATGCACGCTGGCTGGCATCCCTCAGCTTTAAAGCGGCGTGATTTAAACGGTTGCTATTTTTTTCCCCCCGTCGGTTTTCAAGTGGTGACAAATTAGCAGGCAGGAATATAGTCAGGCGGCCGGCTTTTTTTAGCCTGTGTTTTCTTTTCCCCCCTAATTTGAAGCCATGTCGAGGAGCTGCCCGCCGCGGCGACGATGTAGAGACATTCCCACAGTTTCCCCGCTCCTTCTCTTCCTCCTCGTGTTGCCCCCTCTAGGGAGGGGGGGCTGTCACTCAAGGCTGACTGCAGAGAATACCTTTGATTAGAGCCTTAATGGCAACACTGTGTTGTACCATAAACAAAAAAGTTTCCTCGCCCCCATGCTAACGGAGCGTGGAGGAAAAAAGAAAAGGGAGCTGTTTCCGAACGCTCTCTCCCTCGCTGCTGCTGATCTGTAAGATCCAGAGACCTTAAGGAGGGAGGGAGGAGTGTGTGTTTGTAAGGGGGGGGGTCTTGTTGTTTTGGCTCCTTGGAAACTATGTGTTGCAATAAACTCTGGTCCAGCCACCTGCATCCTCCCTGTTCTTGGTGAGATTCAGGGCTTTTGGTCATGGTGGATTTACTGGGGGGGAAGTTTACCATGCAGCTGTTGTGAGGTTCCCCCCCCAATGCCTTTTGAAGCGCATGAATCAGAGCGGACTGTATGGGACGTGCGGTGCCGTCAGAGGCCTTGCTCCCTAGGTGGCACTTGTTGATGGTTTAGTCTGACTGCAAGGCGCCCCCGCCGGCCCGTAGCGGCTCGGGCCGCCGCAGACGGTTCATGTTGCAACGCTTTCACTTAGAATAGAGTTTTAAGCAAACAAAGTGAGGTTAAGAACCTTGAAGGATAAAGTTTCATTCTTTTTTTTTAATGCTGGTTCCAAGATCTTTTTAGAATCTACATGGAGATTCCTTCACCCATCTGCCTCTACTGCTCTGTGCTAGAGATCATCTAATACAAGTTCTCTGTTTTCTTTAATGCTAACGCTGATCATTTTTCATCAGTCTATATGTGCTGCTAATGTTTTTAGGCCATGTAGATGGAGGAAGAAACGATTCAACTATTCTCACTAGTTGCATCTCTTAGGATTCGAGATGAACTGATCAGAGATCCATGGCCGGTTTCCTATCGTTAATCGATGCCACATGTTAAGTATTTCTTTAGCTTGTTAGGAACATAATTAGTAGTTAGCAAAAGAGCAACTGTGTCTCTCTCTCTCTACGCTAAACTTCCCAAGGACTTTTACATTAGGGAAGCGTTATGGATATTGGAATTGGGTTAAAATCTGATTAAAGGACAAATGTTTTTTAGGGAGTGGGACACTCCATTACAGTTCTTCAGTTTTCTGTCATAATAGTGATGTTTGCTTATTTTTATTTAGGAAGAAGCTTTTTTACTTGATTAATTACGAACATGTGTAAAAACAAAAGTGAAGTCCAAACACAACTTTTTCATTTTCGATATGATTATTGCAGCTTTTAGTGTTGACTGATACTGAAATTGACCTTGTCAGGGTTTGGTTGAGGTTTGGAGGACCCAAATGCAGAGGAGATTTCTAGCAGTTTAATGGGGCAAAACAGTAAACAAAGGCAGGAATGCAAAAACCCAACTAATAATCAAAAGCAAACCAGAACTATGGAGACATCTGGGGAAACCAAACACTAGGAGCCAGAGACGAGGTAGGTGGACAACAGCATGGGAGGACAGCAAAGACAAGGAACCAACAAAGAGTGAGAGCAGAGGGAGAGCATATATAGCTGACAGAGACAAAGGGAGGGCTAACGAGCAGACAAGGAGCAGGTGTGAGAGGAGACAACGAGGGAGCCAAGGGGAAAGGAACACACACACGAGGGCAACAGAGGAAAACAACAGAAAACCCTGAGAACTAACATAAATCTAGAAACTACAACAAATAGGAATTAAACCAATAAAACTAGGAAACATGGAGCAAAGTACAGAACAACAGAACCAAGATCATGACAGACCTGAGATCAGTTTGAATCCTACATCATTTATCTGCTAATTTTGTGCTGTGAGATGTTAGAAACGGTTTGATTAAGTGGCATTACTCAGAGAACAGGCATCAGAAACAGCAGGTATAACAATTAAGAGCTGATATTCCCAATATCAACATCAGATCAGAACATCCTTCAAAGATTAACCAAATAGAAGGTTAATATATAGGTTGGTATGGGGTAAATCTGAGCTTTGTTAAAACTGGCTTTAATTTCCTTGTACACAGAGCCATCTGACTGCTGGTGTCACATCTGTTTTTTGAAGCTCTGACCTGCTTATTTAGCTTAATGCAAAATACCATAATATAAGCATCATTGAATATATTTTTGTTTACTTTTTAGAGACAATTTCAAAATTAATGAAATCATTAATGTTGTAAAATAAAACACGGATTCTCTTGCAAAGAGAATCAGGTTACAAAACTCTAAATCTCTGAAAATATGCTGATAAAAACAAATCAAACGTATCTCACGCATTCTTTCAGCTAATTAACAAGGACGTTTGAGGGAAACACATGGATTTACTATCAGATGTGTTTCATTTTAAAATCATTGTTATTAGAACGTTGCACAAGCCTTTTTGTGATTGAATATAAACTATTAATTTAAATATTTTTTTCAAAACAAAATCAACATAAGAGCAGAGAGAACATTTTTAACCGCATCATATATTGATGTATCTAAATCAACAAATTACAAATTTATTTATTTATTATTATGATGACTTTACATAAAATTAATGAAATTCCGACATTTAAGATGAACATTTTCTGTCAAGGAAATTCTTTTGGATTTTTTTGTCTCATATAAAAAGCAGCTTTGCTCTACTATTAGACTATTTGGAGGTTATATCCTTATTTTTATTTATTTTATGAAATCATCTGTGTAGACATGTTGCATTAAAATGATCTTCAAGCTTTCTTTATATAAAAAATGAGGGTTAAATAATAATCACTTATTATGGAAGGGCTCCACTTTATAAAAAATGGTTCTCAGTTAAAAAAAAAAAAGTGGATGTTTGCATTTATTAGAAATTGTTAATTCGAAAGTTCCCTAAAATCTATAATTTCTCATCAAGTGTGGAAGTTTCCCCTCAGCAGCAGCAGAGACCCAAACATCTGTGTGTACCGTAAATGTCTGAATCAGATCCTTCAACCCCTCCAGTGGCTTTGCGTCACTGCGCCGCACAGCACAGCACCAGCAGGGGCCGAATGCTCTTTCTGCCAACATGTTAGGCTCCAGTGGAAAAGATCTGTTTGCTTTCCGCAGGCCGGCCTGCCTGCCTGCCTCGCCTGTTTGCATGAAGCCTCTGGAAAGGTTCTCTGCTGGAGCTGCAGAAGGTGAACTCACTCTGCATACCAGCATGACTTTATTCCTTAGATATTCCTCCAATAAGCACTTTGAATCCCACTTAGGATTCAGCTTTGTGAGGCACTTTAACTCTGAGATTGTTTTGTGAAAACAGCTCCTACAGTGATTGAGTCCTGGGCCCTTGCCTGAACTTGTTAACTCTTATAGAGGCTTTCTCATTGATTCTGCCCCTCAGATGAAAAGACCTCTTGGCCCAATTGTGCACTAATCCTGTTTTCTTTACCTAAGCCTTTCAAGTTCACGTGTTTGTTCATCCACTATGTGTGTTAGTAGACCATATTATGCCAAGCATGCTTTGCAAAAGTTCCCTCAGTGGATCACATTGTTCATTAATCAGTTTATACACCCGTTTTAATGTGTCGGAATCATTACCGACGCAAACTATTCTTCAACCCTGGATGATGACGCCATCTTGTTTCTGATTTATGTCTGATCAAAGTTTACAAATGTTACTTCTTTCTTTAGAAAAAAAAAACAAACAGTTTTTTTTTTAACAATAATTAACCAAGAGCGTCACGGTGGGGTGGAGCTTTAACAGGACCCAAATGCAGACACTGAAGCTGAAGTGGTTTCTTGAAGATTTAATAACAAAAAAGAGTAAGAAAAACAAAAAATCCAAAAACATAAACCCACAAAAACTGAGAACCAGGAATACTCACAACAAGGATCAAAGAAATGACGACAAACCAGCAACAGTGACTGAGCAGGAGGTGCATATATGGGAGAGAGAAACAAAGACCTGGCTAATCAGCAGATTGGGAGCAGGTGTGAACAGAGGAGTCTAGAAGGGAGCTAAGGCTACGTTCACACTGCAGCCTGAAGTGACCCAAATCCGATTTTTTTTGCCCATATGCGACCT